AGGTTGAGCTGCTTGTCCCCACGGACAGAAATCCCATAATTCTGAAAGTCTTTTGACCAAGAGCTGGCTCAAAGCAGACTGTGTGCAATGCGTTTCTTAACTATTGAAAATGTTGTCACCGCGGGATACAGACATGCTAGTCAGAGTTCCATACCATGACAGAAGGTCAAATCTGAAGCAGTCAGAAAGATCACATAAATACTGCCATCTCATTTCCAATCTAGTCTCCTTAACTATTAAAACACGGTGACCAGATCGCTGCTTCGGGCCTCCTAAACTCCCGCCTCTCCCACCCGGAAAGTACTGACCCACGGAGGACACACCTTTGCTTCTGAGCAGCCCAACTTCTGCAAGCGCACAAGAGTTAATTACTCCTTCACCCTCCTGGGGCCTAACAGTGTTACTGGGTCCTGATTATTTATACAGACGAAAAACGACGTTCAAAAGATTCTGACAACTTTAAAAAAAAAAAAGAAAAAAAAAAAAGAATGCGGTGGAAGTCTAAGATTGCCTCCCCTGTGACGAAACACAGCCCCGCCGGCCGCTCCGGCCCGACTCCGCCCGCCCGCCCGCCGCAGTTTCGGGGCTGCGGCCCGGGGGGCGCGGGCGCGGCGGGGCCGGGGTCTCCTCCGGGAGTCGCGGGGAGCACGGGCCGGGAGAGGCACGCGGGCGGCACCTCGCAGCCGAGCGGCTCCCGGGCCCGGCGCCCGCTCACCTGGTGCGTGTTGTTGGCCAGCTTGGCGACGAAGTCCCGGACCCGGCCGCACTCCTCGTCCTCGCCTGGCGCGCTGCGACGCCAACGGCCGCCGCGGGGAAACGCGCCCCCGGCCGCGGCCGCCCGCAGCCCCCAGCTCACCCCGATGGGGCCAGACCAGCGCAGGAGCGGGGCAGCGGGCGGCGGCGGCGCGTCCAGCCGGTCCTGGCCAAGGGTCACCGGCGGCAGCAACTGCAGGAGGAGGAGGAGGCCGAGACCGTGGGGCCAGCGCGAGAGGCCGTCCGCAGCTCCCCGGGGCAGCTCCATCGCCGCCGAATGCCGCCGACGCCGACACCTGCCGCCCGGCGCGCCCGCCCACCCCCGTCGGCGCGCGCCACACCCCCGAGCCGAGCGCGGCGCTCCTTGGATACGCGCGGCCGGGCCTCTCCGCCCCATAGGCTGGCCGCCTGTCCCTCTTCCCCGGTCCACTCCTCATTGGCTCGCGTCGCCTCCGGCTTCGGGGGTCCTGGATTCGGATGCCAAGATGCGGGACTGATTGGCTGGAACGTGGCAGAGACTGCTGAGGTCAACCCCGCCTCGCCCGGCGTCTCCCGGGCCCGGCTTGTGGAGTTCACGTAGGAGCTTCTCCCACCTTCCCGCCGAGCCCTGGGCTCCTGGCGCCGCGACCCCTTGCCGCACCTCTAGCGCCCTCAAGTTGGGGCTAGATTACGTCCCTCCTGTTCCCCAGAGACACTCCTAAAATTCCTTCAGTGAGGCAGCGCCTGGAAAACCTACCCAGGAAATCTCTGAGCTCGCTCAGCTGGAAAAGGGGGCTCCATCATGAACAGGGGCTTCAGGTTTTTATAAACCCCGCTCACTGGAGCGCCCATTGTCTGCTAAGCAGCTGCCTTGCTGCCAAGAAGGTGAATGCGAACTGGTGTGGGCCACATCCTACGGAGACAGACATCAGGACATCCGTGACTCGGGCAAGCCTGAATAGTCTTTCCATACGTTTGGCCTCTCTCGCCTTCCTCTTCTGCGGGGAGGTAGGCCAAAGGCGGAATTACTTACAGGTTTTCCAGGACTTCGAATGTAGCTTAGGCATTAGGGGCAGATAAAAGGGGGCAAGAGAATGACCCAATGCCTACTGTTCACATGACCATTTCCTAGATGCACATTTATTTTACCAAAGTGCCTTAACTCTGCAGTGAGAGCTTCGGACAAGTTTGGTTCCAGTATGTGATGTCCTCTAAATTAGCACCCCGATCCACCTCTAATGAATAAAATAAAACCCCTACGCTGTTCCCTTTACCGCAGAAGCTGCACATACAACTTCTACAACACGTAGCACAGGTAAAACCAGTTCTGAATCCTTAAACTTACTGACTCCATCCCTTTAGAAAGCTAGAAATTGTTCAGTAGAAAAGGTAGCAAATAGATACAAAATATGCAAATCGTTACAAAGCAAGTAAAGATTACTTTTAACTATAAACTAGCCATAAACTCAAATGAGGGTATAGTCATTGTAGAGCAAAATGATACAATGCACCCAACCCGATATTTACATTAAAATACTTCCAGTCACATTAACTTTCAAACAAAAAGACTTACGAATTTACAAATTTTCCCAAAACAACCATACTAAGACGTGAGAAGAAAAATGTTTTTGAATGCCATCTGAGCAGGATAGTAAAATCATTAGAATAGTCTTTTAAGTTCTCAGTTACTGGACTGACAAGATAAAGCTGATGAGAACTGGTGAACAATTTGTTCCTTTCCATAACTACTATCAGATTAATTTTAAAAATAGATTATTTTAAAATCTATGCCAACTATGGGAGTAGATCACAAGACAGTCAGTTCCAGTAGCATGTGATTAGGTGGGGGGAGGAAACGGGGTTATAAAGGAATATTTCTTTGTTTGGGTGACAAAGATGAATGGTCTATTGTCTTACTGTCTGAAAAGAAAAACAACTCAATAGTGCCACCTCCTGGAGAAATTGCCAAATACACTTTTAAACGCTATTAAAATTTGTTGGCAATTATCTGTACCTTCACTTTTTAATATGTTGCTTTTAGTTATCACAGGCTTACAGTAGTTATATATTTCCTTCCTCAAACTGTATCAGCTTCCAGGACATGGTAACTTGCATATGGCACTGAGAAAATGTTTGAGTGAATACATTTACTATTTCACTTTTTAAAATTGGAAACCCTAGGAACTATATTTCATTTTTGTCTAATGAGATTTACATTAAATATAAAAGTCACACTGTCAGTTCTCCTTGGTGAAATACTGGACATAAGATTTCACCTTATTTGCAGGACTAAAATAAGTAAATGTATCTTATTACTAAAAACCATACCTTTCTCCAGGAAACATTCTATAGCAGAAAGATAACATAAAGCAATTACACATCATGAAACCATTGCTGTTCCTAAGAAAGCTTGTTTTAATATTCTACAAAAAAATCAAAGTTCTACCTCTTTGAAGAATGCCAATTATAGAAGGTATGAAATTTATTGTTTTACCAGGTAAAATACAAATACACTGCCCAGCCAGTGGGAGGGAAAACAATTTAAGCTGAGGCCAATGGAGATAGGCTGAGCTATTCCTTAGTATTTGGGCATTTTTCCCCCTATGAAATGCATGTGATTCAGAGATACGACTCACCTCTCCCAAAAGCAACATTGGCTTTATCCATTTCTGCATTAACCTAGAGTTAAAGGGGAATATTGTTTATTGTTTGGCTCTCCCCACTACAAGTTTCACAGGAGCACAGATCATATCTACCATTTGAACAGCTCTCTCTGCCTGATGGCTAATACATTTCTTGGCATATAGTAGGTAGGTGCTCAATATATTTGTTACAGGAATAAATGAGATAGGATTTTCAATGGTATTTTCTATTAGGATTTAATAAAACAAAGTGATCTTTAGAGAAACAAATCTCCCAATCAACATGCTATACTTAATAACAGTGTTAAAATCACTAGAAGTCTCTGGAACATTGAGTAACAATATACTAGTTCTCTACTTTCCTTATGTGTTATTCTAGGGCAAAATCCCTTTCTTCCAAATGTTTCCTGTCGTTGCAGTTTCCAAATGTATATAAACACATTGTTTTTTGCTGAATTACAGTGTGAATTTAGTATGAATTCAGCCTACCCAAATAGTCATAATTTATTAACATCATATAGTACAACTTCCTACACATTAATATACCCAGAGCCCAGCAAATAATTATGGGGTCCCTGCTAGTGAATTAAATCAATTCTGCATCATCCATATATGGATTAGCCATGTTGTGGACAGTGCAAGCACTTTTCAAATCTCCAGATTTCCCTATTACAAGAGCTGGTGATCTGAAACAAGATCTGAGCTGTTCCAAGTCCCAACAGCTTAATTCTGTGTGTCCATGGGCACACAGCATTAAGATTCTTCATCTGTTAAATAGTGATACAAATAGTGATACTGATACCATCTTCCCATGGTAATTTTTGAGGCTGAGATACAATGATTCTTCAAACAGTCTCCACCAGTCATATGATGGCAGCTCTAATGGGGACAGTTCGTCATTCATTCCAAAGTCTAATGTAAACTGCTTCTGAATTTTATAATTCTCTTCCTGATATGGCTGAGATTTGTAATTGATTGCCAGTAAGGCCAAGGTCATTAATTTAATTCTTAGTCCTTCACTTCGTAAACAAGGAAATCTCTTTCCAAATTGTCTATCAAGACCCAAGAACTGGTACAACACTGTTGATGGCTTATTCCAACCCATCAGTGTTTTGAGGTCCTCCTCAAAACACTGATAGTCAATTAGTAGCATCTCCTTATAAGAAAAGCAGCAAAAATACATGTTTGCTCAAGAAATTACAGGGCCAAAAATGGATTTACAGTGCTGTTAACATCTATTAACCACTGGGAAGAGCTGGACTAACATCTATTAACCACTGGGAAGAGTTCATTTATCAACACCAAGGGATTAATGGATATAGTTGATTCTGTTATAGAGCATCACTAAAACAGTTTTAGAACAGACATCTTCATAGAATAGGGATATTAATAATGCTATCCTTTTGGCCCACTAACATATGCATTTCAAACAAAGACTGTATTACAATGGCTGGGTGCAGTGGCTCTCCCCTATAATCCCAGCACTTCAGGAGGCAGAGGCGGGAAGATCACTTGAACCCAGGAGTTCGAAACCAGCCTGGGCAATATAGTGAGACCTCATCTCTTTAAAAAAGAAAAAAGAAAAGAAAAAAAGACTATTAGAAGAGAAGAGTCTATTAACAAATATTTTAAAATTTTCTTTATTTCAGAACTGCCTTTATGTACAGACATCATTAAAAAAATGCACATACAATGGAGATTTTCCAAGGATCAGGAGTTGGAAATAAAATTTATGGACATTATTAAGAACTGAAATTGTCCCAGAGAAGTTCTGAGAATCAGGCTTCCTTAAATGTCCTTGATAACCTCTTCAAGTTCTTCCTTTGTGAACATGTGGAAATTCTGGCCAGGCTGCACTGTGGCTAGCTGGAAAGAAAACAGAAGGGTTAATAAGCTGGGCTCAGTTACCCTGCAGATGGCCCTACCATGGTCAGGAGAAGCTGTGTTGGTGATGCAGCTATTCTTTAGGAACTAAGGGATCTGCTGTCCCAAGGCCTTCCCAGGCAGCAGGTCCCTAAAATAGCTCTCTGGCTCCAAAATAAAAATGCTTATTGACCAAATTTTCTATTTTAAGGTTAACTCACCACATCATACTTAACCAAATGCCTGGCATCACTGTCACTTCTTGAAGTCACTTCAACAGGGATCACAAAAGCAGCGGCAAAGTACACAGAGTCAGTATTTTTTTCTGTTAAAGACTCCTTTAGAATTATATTTGAAGTATATTTAAATACTTAAAAGTTGAGCTTGTGTGTGTGACTTCAGGTTACTTGGCCACTCTGTGCCTCTATTTCTTCATCTGTACAATGAGGACAATAAGAATAGCTAATTCACAAAGTAGTTGTGAGGATTAAATGTTAATATATGTAACGTGCTTAGACCATTGCCTACAACAAATAATCATTAACTACTGTCAGGTGTTTTCCCTAAAATTGTTTATGTGGCAAAACTTATCAAAAAAGTTTGTTGTTGCTGTTTTTTGAGACAGAGTTTCACTCTTGTTGTCCAGGCTGGAGTGCAATGGCATGATCTAGGCTCACCGCAACCTCCACCTCCCAGGTTCAAGCGATTTTCCTGCCTCAGCCTCCCTGTAGCTGAGATTACAGACATGCACCACCACGCCTGGCTAATTTTGTATTTTTAGTAGAGACAGTGTTTCTCCATGTTGATCAGGCTGCTCTCGAACCAACCTCAGGTGATCCACCCACCTTGGCCTCCCAAAGTGCTAGGATTACAGGCGTGAGCTACTACACCTGGCCTGTTATGTTTTTTAAAAGGACTGGCCAAGAAAATATTTCATTAACACTGGCATAGGAAATCAGTTGTGACTGCTGAAGATATCAGTAATAACTGGAAGTCCAGATGGTTAATTTCAAATTTAACTAACATGGCCAGGTTTTCCATTCTCTCTGCTGATCGTGTCCCACAGTTTTAGGCAATACTGAGCAATAGGTGCCACATTTGCCTCAAAAGATGTGTGTTTTACATGTCATTTCCTCATAGTGTCTTTTTTTTTTTTTTTTTTTTTCAGTTTTTAAAATTAAACACATGGCTGGAAACAGTAGCTCATGCTTGTAACCCCAGCACTTTGGGAGACTGAGGCGCGAGGTACACTTGAGTCCGAGAGTCAAAAACCAGTCTGGACAACACAGGGAGACCCCGTGTCTACCAAAAAAAACCCCCCAAAACTAGCAGGGGGTGTAGCAAATGCCTGTGTCCCACATACTCAAGAGGCTGAGATGGGAGAAGTGCTTGACCCTGGGAGATTAGGGCTGCAGTGGGTTGTGATCATCCCACTGCACTCCAGCCTGGGTGACAGAAAGAGGCCCTGTCTAAAACAATAAATTAATTAATAACAATTTTTAAAAAAATTATAAAGATAGTAGGGCATTTTAAAGTAATTTTCAGTCCTGATATTTAATATAACTTGAAAGTTGCGAGACAGAATTAGCATAATCCAGTTATATGATGTTTAGTATCCTCTGCCTCATCTATAAGTAAAATTCAGAAAGACTGATGTACATTTTAAGACACCCGATACCTGGGAACAGACTTAAAAAAAAAAAAGTTCTCCTTTCAAAGCTTGTAGTCTCCTCTAGATTCTCCTAAAAGATATATCTCCAATTACGTGAAATGTCAGAAAAGTCCCAAATATATTTGCAAAATATAGGTAAACAATTAGTTTACCATATAGACCATGAGTTCCATTCCAAGGATATTTAAACATACAAATATTACTGCTTCTTTTGGCCAGACGTCGTAGCCTGTAATTCCTTTAATTCTGGCACTTTGTGAGGCTGGGGCAGGTGGATCACCTGAGGTCAGGAGTTTGATACCAGCCTGGCAAACATGGCAAAACCCCATCTCTACTAAAAATACAAAAATTAGTTAGGCACGGTGGCACGTGCCTGTAGTCCCAGCTGAGGCACAAGAATTGCTTGAACCTGGGATGTGGAGGTTGCAGTGAGCTGAGATCGCACCACTGCACTTTAGCCCAGGCAACAAAGTGAGATCCTATCTCAAATAAATAAATAAATAAATAAATAAATAAAAATGTTACTACTGCTTCTGTTAAGGTATATCTTTACTTGATGATCAATGACGTGAGGACACAGAAATACAAGGGCAATAATCTAAAGAGTTAGGGCCTAAAGAATTTCACTCATGACTCAGGCTAGCCTTCTCAAAACATTACAGGGGCTAAAAAGCAGAAACTGGGAAAACTCTTGAGTAGAACAGTCCTACAGAAGAACTGGAACGCAAATCATACCATTAATAATAGAGTCTGAGCCAAGGACTGCTTTCAGGAAGTTGCTCATCACTAGGTAAGTAAAAATAATCCCTTACATTTGCATAATAAAAAATTTATTTGCATAATATGAAAGAAAATTTTCTATTTATTATCTCACTTTCAAAAAACACTTCTATGAGGCAGGTAGAACAGATATTGTCTTTCACTCTATTTCACCAATAATTAATTAATAAGCACCTGTGTATTAGTTACATGTACTTGTGACTAAGGATCCAAAGAAAGAAAGTCCATCTTATTTACTAAGTGCTAGATGCCAAATGTGTTCAATGTCAGGTAAGTGTTATAATAAAGCTAAGCATATGTATAAGAGTGATCTGGGGGAGCCCAGGAAGGCTTCAGGGAGAAGCAACTTTTGAGTTATGTATTAAAGCATGGCAAGAATGGGTCAGACAATCAAACACAGGAAGGGAAACAATGTGCAAATGCGCAGAACCACAAAAGAACGTGATGTATTTGCAAAATTGAAAGTAATTCTGTATGGCTAGAGTGGAGGTTGCACATGGAATATGAAGTGAAAAGAAGAGGGAACAGGGGGGTCAGAGCCCATGGGAGACAGTACATTAAAGCGGTTAAAAGTATAAGACCTAAGACCAGACCTGGATTCAAATCCTGACTCTACCATTTACCTGTTGGCCCTACCCTCTCAAAGTCAGTTTCCTCTTCTGTAAAATAAGATTTTCGGAATAGGAATATCTATCTCATAGAAGTGTTGTGAAGATTAAGAGAAGTAATTGCATGTAAAATGCTTAGCAAAGTCTCTAATAGATTAAACAAATGACTTAAGTAGTAGTGAATTATGCCATGAAAAGAATTTTGGAATTTATCTCACAGACAACAGAAGTCAGAAAAGTTTTGTTTGTTTGTTTGTTTGTTTGTTTGTTTTTGAGACAGAGTCTTGCTCTGGAGTATAGTGGCATGATCCCAGCTCACTGCAACCTCTGCCACCTGGGTTCAAGCAATTCTCATGCCTCAGCCTCCTTAGTACCTGGGATTATAGGCGCATGTCACCGTGCCTAGCTAATTTCTTGTATTTTTATTAGAGACAGGGCTTTCACCATGCTAGTCTGGCTGGTCTTGAACTCCTGGCCTCAAGTGATTCACCAATCTTGCCTTACCAAAGTGGTGGGATTACAGGCGTGAGCCACCATATCCGGCCAGAAAATATTTTTTAAGCGGAGAACAATTAAGATTAGATGTAGCTTAGAAAATCCACTGTAGTAGCACAATGAGGAAAAAATGGACTGAAATGGAGGAGGGCAAGATTAATTAGGAGGCCTCTGAAAATATACAAGGTAGGGGAAAAATGGGGACCTGAACAAAAGAAGGCACTGGAAGTAGGCATGCAGAAGGGACATTGACTTGGGAGTTATTTGTAAGGGAGCAAAGAAATGATTTGAGTAAAAGGGAAGGAAAATCAAAGTCTTCCAGGTTTCTCATGTGCATAACAAGTGCACTGGGGGTGTCATCAGCCAAAATTAGAAATATGGGAAGATGAAATGGTTTTTAAGAAAGATAATGATTTTAATTTTAGAACCGTCAAATTCAAGGTGAATGCTTCAAAAAGGTCAAATGATAGTTCCAAAGAGTGACCATGAAATCTGACAAATAAGAGTTATCTTACCAAGGAGCAGTCTCATGGAAATAATAAAAGCTGAAACAAATAGTAATGATTGAGGAGTAAATGAGAGATGAAGCAGTGGAGATAAGACAGGTTCTGTTTGGAGGAGACTTGGCAATAAAGGTGAAAAAATAGGATGGATGAAATAGCACTCAGCAATAAAATGTAACAGAATTGATGCAACATGGGTGAATCTCAAAATCGTGCCAAGTGAAAGAAGTATAGTCCCTATAGTCACCTACAGTCCCAGCTACTCAGAAGGCTAAGGCAGGAGAACTGCCTGAGGCCTGGAGTTTAAGACCAGTCTGGGCAACACAGCAAGACCCCATCTCTAAAAAAATTAAAAAACATTAGCCAGGCCTGGTGTGTGCACTTGTAGTCCCAGCCACTAGAGAGGCTGGGGTGGGAGGACTACTTGAGCTCATGAGTTCAAGACCAGTCTAGGCAATATAGCCAGACCTCATCTCTTAAAAAAAACAAACGAAAACATTTATATGAAATTCTAGAACACAAAACAAATCTATAGTGACAAAAAGTAGATCAATATGGGGGAAGAGACTACAAAGTGACATGAGGGAACTTTTTGGGAGGATCGATATAATGACTGGGGTGACAGATATGGGGTAGTACGTTTGTCAACATCTGCTGAATTGTAAACTTAAAATTGGTACATTTTACTGTATGTAAATTATATCTCAAAAAAGTTCATTAAAAGTAAGGACACTAGACAGAAGGAGGTATATATAAAGATTTTCTTTAAAAGAAAGATGTAAGATGTAACTTGGATTTTTTTTTTTTTTTTTTTGAGACAGTCTCGCTCTGTCGCCCAGGCTGGAGTGCAGTGACACGATCTCGGCTCACTGCAAGCTCCGCCTCCTGGGTTCACTCCATTCTCCTGCCTCAGCCTCCGGAGTAGCTGGAACTAGAGGCACCCGCCACCATGCCCAGCTAATTTTTTTGTATTTTTAGTAGAGATGGGGTTTCACCATGTTGGCCAGGATGGTCTCAATCTCCTGACCTCGTGATCCGCCTGCCTCGGCCTCCCAAAGTGCTGGGATTACAGGCGTGAGCCACCGTGCCTGGCCGGATATTTTCCTTTTCTTAGGGGAAAAGGAGGGAGGCTGGAGCTCCAAGGAACAACTAATGGACTAAGAACTTACAGCAGATGGGTTCTAGAGCAGTGGCTCCCAAATGTTAGTCCTCCTTAGACTGACCTTTCACAGCAGCCTATGAAAGCTGGTTCTATGGGTGAGACATTCACCAACAATACCCTCCAGTGTTCTCTAATCTTCTGTCCTTAACTAGTCAATCCCCTACTACGGATTAATCCAACCATCCATTTTCTCATGAGTGTAGTCAACAAATATCCTGGTAAGTACTAATTGGTTTAATTACTGATTTATAATTATAGCCTTGGTTGGCCTTTACATTTTATTTATTTATTTTCTGAGACAAAGTTTCGTGCTGTTGCCCAGGGTGGAGTGCAATCTTAGCTCACTGCAACCTCTACCTCCCAGGTTCAAGCAATTCTCATACCTCGGCCTCCCGAATAGCTCACCACACCCAGCTAATTTTTTGTATTTTTTTAGTAAAGCCGGGGTTTCTCTATGTTGGCCAGGCTGCTCTTGAACTTCTGGCCTCACGTGATCTGCCTGCCTTGGCTTCCCAAAGTGCTGGGATTACTGGCCTCAGCTAGGATTTTAATATGGCCTAGCAATCCTTTTACTCTTCCCTGTCTTCTCTTTTCCCTATCCATAATGACTTTTCCAAATATTTCCCATTCTCAATTTTACCGTTGCATTCACCCACCCTCAGCAGATGACCTTACAATCACTAGGAAAATTCCGGGGAAATGTGGGACATCTCTCCAGTTTACCGCCAAGCCCACCTATCTTTACTCGTCATTACTTCCTTTTCTCCTGTCTACTCTTAGCATACTAAAAAAGGACATTCCCAAGCTGGTCCATACCTCTCCAGTCTCATCCCTTACCATCCCTCACCATCTTACATACATCCCACACCCAACAGTCAGACAAAACTTCAAAGTTTCCTTTACCCACAATGTTATTTTTACATCTTGAACCCTTTGCACATGTTGTCCCCTCTTCCTGGAATACCTTTCTGCTCCCTTTTCCAGACATCTCCTCTTCCAAGAAGCTTCCCTAATGCTTTAGTCTAAGTTACACATACGGGAATCTGTTCTTACTGACATTATAGAAGTATCACCCCAGGTTGGTTCTTATTATCTATATGTTCCCTGCACTACACAGTATACTACTTGAATAGGAATTGGATTTTCTGTGTCTGTATCCCTGGGCATCCAGCATAATACCTGCTATATAATGGGTACTCAGTATGATGCTGAATGAATTTCTTTTCAAAACCAACTTTTTCATGTGTACCACCCCTTACCTCTTCTATAACTTTTTCATCACTATCCTAACCTCTCCTTTTATTTCTTTCAGGTTTTTTTTTTTTTCTTTTTGAGAGAGTCTCGTTCTGTCACCCAGGCTGGAGTGCAGTGGTAAAATCTTGGCTCACTGCAACCTCCACATCCTGAGTTCAAGCGATTCTCATACCTCAGCTTCCCAAGTAGCTGGGATTACAGGCATCCACCACCACACCTGGCTAATTTTTGTATTTTTAGTAGAGATGAGGTTTCACCATATTGGGCAGGCTGGTCTTGAACTCCTGCCCTCAAGCGATCCACCTGTCTCAGCCTCCCAAAGTGCTGGGATTACAGACAACTGCGCCCGGCTCTTTCAACATTTTTCTATAAGCTAGTTTCATCTCTGTTTATATTTTCAAGACTTCCCTATCCTTAAAACGACACAATCCTTTTATTGAATGCTACCTTCTGCCAACACAAATCAAACTTCTTAAGAAAGCAGCATACTCTTGTTTTCTCCACTCATAACCTCCCTTTCATTCTGTTTATTTTATTTTTGAGACAGAGTCTCCCTCTATCGCCCAGGTTGGAGTGCAGTAGCTCACTGCAACTTCCGAATCCTGGGTTCAAGCAATTCTCATGCCTCAGCCTCCCTAGTAGCTGGGACTACAGGTGTGTGCCACCACACCTGGCTAGTTTTTGTATTTTTGGTAGAGATGGGGTTTTGCCATGCTGGCCAGGCTGGTCTCAAGTGATCTGCCTGCCTTGGCCTTCCAAAGTGCTGGGATTACAGGCGTGAGCCACCTTGCCAGGCCTCATTCTTTAACTCACTGAATTCTGGCTTTTGCCAGCACCACTTTACTAAAGCTGTTTATTATTCAAAGGCTGTTAATAATTTCTTAGGAACTAAATATACAAAAATGTGATTTCTATGATCTGTGTAGTCTTCAGCAATGCCAGCTATAATATCTGAATAAAAAACAATAAAACAGCCAGGTGCAGTGGCTCTCACCTATAGTTCCAGCTACTTAGGAGGCTAAGGCAGGAGAACTGCCTGAGGCCAGGAGTTTAAGACCAATCTGGGCAACATAGCAAGACCCCATCTCTAAAAAAATTAAAAAACATTAGCCAGGCCTGGTGTGTGCACCTATAGTCCCAGCTACTCAAGAGGCTGGGGTGGGAGGACTACTTGAGCCCATGAGTTCAAGACCAGTCTAGTCTAGACAATATAGCCAGACCTCATCTCTTAAAAAAACAAACAAAAAAAATTCAACAATAAAACAGAAAGTACCTCAATGTTTGTTGCATTCAGCTTCTCCTCCATTACTTGTTTGAGGATGATCAGTGAAGACTTGATGGCTTCTTTCAAAGTCATAGACTTGAAACAAAGAAGGCAAGAAGATGCCTATTAATTATATGCAATCCCTCCTTCCTTCAAAGATTTTCCCTTTATCTCACTGAAAAAAGTATGTAGCAAGTATGTCAAACATCTTACTTACTATGGTGCATTACAAGTATCTCCAGAACTCAAGTAAATGGCAAATAAGTAGAATACACTTTTTCAGGAAAAAAACCCCAAAACCTTATTGTGAGCCACAATAAAGTCACCAACCAAAGTAATCTTTGAAGAAGGGGAAAGGGATAGACTTATCTTGTGTACATTTGAATTCCTCTTTTAATTTAGAAGATAATATTATTGGCAATATCCTATGAACAATGCCCAAAAGATCTAAGAGGTAGCCTAATGATTTAGAAAATTCATATTTACCCTGTTTTGTACCTAATTTCCTCCACATGTAAAATCAATATTATTAGGAGCTAATGTAAGCAGGCTTCCCCGTATGAACCACCTGAATAAGTACAGCAGCCTTCAATCACACCAATGAGTTACCCAAAACCAAATCTTCCCATCTCACAAAGAAAATACCAAATGCCCACTTGCTTCAAGAACCAATTGTAAAACGCTAAGTAAAGCTGTGGAGATAGAGGATAAACATATTGTGGTATACCCATACCACGGTATATTACTCAGCCATCAAATGGAAATACTGGTACAACATGAATGGATCTCAAAATCAGTGTTAAACAAAACAGATACAAACTGACTAATTGTTTAATTCCATTATAACAAAGCATAAGAACAGACAAAACTAATGGACAGTGGTAAACATGGTTGTAAAGGAGGGAAAGAGATTGACTGGAATGTGGATGAGCATTTTTTTGGCGGTGATGAAAGTGTTACCTTGTTTTGCAATTGTCAAAACTCATAGAACTGAACTCTTAAGGTTTGCACATTTTATTATATGTCAATTATACCATGAATTAAAAAAAATAGTAAGAGTTGTGAGAATACTTAGTTACCTTGTGGTAAACTTCTTGCAAGGAGCTTTGGGCGCCCTCTGAAGCAGAGCCAATTGCACGAGCATCACACTGTACAAAGGTCCCAGATGGATCCATATGAAACCTGCAAAACCCCCAAAATGAGGACTAAAATGCTCAGGAGTGGTGGCACTTTATGTAACAAACGTCTCACTAAAACAAAGCACAAATGCTTGGCCCTGGAGCCAGGAGACACCACTGAAATATTGAGGCGGCCGGGCGCAGTGGCTCAAGCCTGTAATCCCAGCACTTTGGGAGGCCGAGACGGGCGGATCACGAGGTCAGGAGATCGAGACCATCCTGGCTAACACGGTGAAACCCCATCTCTACTAAAAAATACAAAAAACTAGCCGGGCGAGGTGGCGGGCACCTGTAGTCCCAGCTACTCAGGAGGCTGAGGCAGGAGAATGGTGTAAACCCAGGAGGCGGAGCTTGCAGTGAGCTGAGATCTGGCGATGGCACCCCAGCCTGGGTGACACAGCGAGACTCTGTCTCAAAAAAATATATATATATTGAGGCACAGATCTAAAAGATGTTCTATGTCTGGAGAAACCAGACATTTTAGAAAGTGTTTAAGAAAATTAGCAGCTTCCTTAGGGATTCAGAAGTATAGTATGTATAAATATGGTACTTGTTTATGCCTATCTTAGAAATATCTGAGGATGAGGATCAGATCAACATTCCAGAGCAAAGCTCTAAAACATACCCTGACTATAGTAACAAGTTACTTCTAATTCCTTCCAGAATTAGCACTGGTTCCAATAGAGGAATTCTTCATGGAATCCCCAAATTTGGGCAAACGGCATAGAATCACTAAACTTTAGTATTAGAAGCCATATCTATATATATACACACACTTAACAATAGCCCTTTTTACAATAATCTTTTTTAAATACATTTTTTAAAGAGATGGGGTCCGACTGTTATCCAGGCTGGAGTGCAGTGACATAATCATAAGCTCACTACAGCCTGGATAACAACTCCCGGGCTCAAAGATCCTCCTGCCTCAGCCTTCAAGTAGCTGGGACTACAGGTGTGTGCTAATATCTGGCTAATAGTCTACAACAATCTTCTCAGTCCCCACCCCAAATTAAAATAACTCCCCACAAAAGCGTGGGGGAAAATTACAAAATGGTACTTACAGCTGAGGTCCTTTCTCATCAACTCCTCCAAATAACAATGCTACTCCAAAGGGACGAGACTAGAACCAAAAGGTAAGAGATATTAAGATAAATGGCTATGAAGTAAGGAGTGAGAGGGGCTGGGAATGTTATGTTTACAGGACAAATGTCCTAAGTCCCACAGAACAATAAAAAAACTCGACACAAGTATCACACTCACCATGGCACCTGGATCTGCGTCTTCTTCTCCAAACTGGAGAGCCAGATTGGACACAGCTTGGGTCACACTCTCCACTGTCATTGTCTCATTGTAGGTGAACCAGTGGTTCTAGAAGAAGAGCAAACCATGGTACACCCTTCTAATAAGGACACTGAGGCAGCCCACCATCTCACTACGCACATTCCTTTAAACTGGGATTGGAAACTGAAGGCTCAAATGTGGTTTTCTTAATTAACATTAACCCTGAGTACTTGAGAGTACATGAGAGGAAGAGAAATAGCTCTGGAAATAAACATTATCACAAGGACTCTAAGCAACGACAGACAAGAGAATTATTGCCTTGAAAAAGAGGAATATGCCCTGAAAGCACCAAGTTTACTCTTGTCAAAAACTAAAAGTGCCTCTTTCCCTCAAAGACTCTAGCTTATTCTGTTGATGTTTAAGTTAAATGACTTATTCTTACATAAGTACAGACAGCAAACTTGCAAGTAAGTGCAAAAAATTTTACTGTGAGATATATTTTTCTTACTAGCCTATCTCCAAGCAGCAGCTACAAAGTTTAAAAAAAACAGTATCCCTGACCAGTATTTGTCAGCTGGTACAAGTTATTACTCACCAGAGGAGGGCTGTTATTTGCAAGCCTGGCAACAAAGGCAGTTGAGGTGAGAATATCCTTTAACTATGTCCACCTCCTGCCATGATGCTCCCACAGAAAGTCAATTAGGAAACAATGCATTACAATGCATGCTTTATATAAGGCAAAGCCAAAAAAAAAAGGAAGACACTGTCAGCACTACTGACCAGAGCCTCTTTAAAACTGCAATGATCGGACAGCTAAACTCCAAGCCCCAGAAAGTTCTAACTGGGAATTCTACCCAAAATTACTCCCAAGAGCCACATCTAATATTGACACAGACACCTGCAGTATAGCCCAGGCAGCTACATAATCACTAAACAAGCAACTCAAGTATCCTGGTAAAAGGGAGATAATGCCAATTTTACCTGTGTCTCCACTCTGGCTTTATCAATTAAAGTCTTAGCATCAGCAATTAGCCCACTCATGGCACAACCTGCAATGTAAAAGCGACAGTGACCCAGTGGCCAAATCCTTGTAGAACTCTTTCATCCACTCAGGAAATCCTGAAATTCTGGAGTGGAACCATGGCAGCCATTCAGCTATCCCATGGCATTTTATACCCGAAAGTTTAGATAAGAAATGATCTGCCCTGAACCCAAGTATTAACGATGTTAGAAACTAAAAACCATCCACAATGACACACAAGTCCAGATGATAAAAATAAGTCCAGAGAAAAGCAGCTAAACAAACATGAATTTCCACATATTACATCCCTAAACATCCCTTTAGCACTCTTTGTAGATGATGATACATTTTCAAACTAAGCAAACACGAATGTCCCAACCTGGGAGACAGAGAAAAGAAAATCACCTCACTATGGACTACAGTGGAGGACTCTCGAATAAATCAAAAGCCTTTTGCCTCTCTGTCCCAAACACAAAACAACTAGTTATATCAGAGAGTTTGCCTGATGGCCCAAGCCACCACAATTATGGCTATACTGTAATTTTACGCACCATGACTCAAATCTAAATCTCCAGTCTAAGTTTCTCTCCCAAGTTTCAGACATATAAAGCCAAATAACCTCCTTAATCTATCTACTTGGACATATCACACACTCATTTCCCTTCTAGACCCCGTCTTCTTCCTTGGCCCTCACAACCAATCAGATCACAAGTTCTGTCAATTTCTATCTTCCTCTCCATTCTCTGGCTACTGTGTTAGTTAAAACCTCCACCATCTCTTTGTTTGGACTATTACAAGTTTTTAACTGGCCTCCCTGCCTCTAGTCTCAGCCTTCTTTAGTCTACTTTTAATATCATTATCAGAATGGCCTTTCTAAAATTGTAATGGGATCCTATTACCTCATTGCTTAAAACCTTTCCCATCCTTGCAAAAGGATTACATTGAAGCCTTTGGTGTGGTAAAAAAGGAATTCCGCTCTCTGACCAACTCATCTGTTGCTGCAGTTCGTGTCCCAGTCCCACAAAACTGCTTGTGCTATGGTATTTTATATTTTACACCACGACGGCTTCAGTCATTTCTATTCCCTCTGACTAGAATGCTCTCCCTTGCTACACCCAGACACTTGTTTGCCTTGTGTACACTTCCTTATCTTTCAGAATTAAACTCAGCTCAAAATCACTTTCATGGAATCCTTTTCTGAAAGCCCCACTACCACTGACTCCAGGCAAAACTAATTATTTCTTCCTTTGTACTCCTACTGAGAACACACTAGAGTCTTTCTTAATACTTTTGTCACTTAATTGCATTGACTTACTTACATGTCCACCACCACAATTAGACCATATGCTCCTGGAAAACAAGGACTATGTCTTATTCCTTTCTATTCCCTGGTATCTAGCATAATGTCTGGCACATTGTAGGCTCTCAATTTGTTGAATGTAGTGACACTGAGCTACCTTCAAAAGACAAGTGACTCGAGTTAAAGAAGACACAATGTTCCAATCTTAAAAGATAAAATCTCAGTTTCTGTATCTATGAAAGAGATAGTATCAAGCTTCCAGAGTCACCATGCATTTGGTTCTGATGCCTTCAAGCAATTAATTATTTTGCCAATGCTTCATTAATTAGATGACTAGACAGGTTAAGAAAATTTAGATAGCCAAATAAAATGGCATTCTATAAATAACTAGAACTACTCACCCTGTAATACTATTATACAATGATGTCAGAAGTCAAGGCAGGGGAATTAAAGACCAAAAAAGTGGGTAGAGGGAACAAGGAATACAAAGATAATCTGAAAACAAAGGAGGAAGACTGATCTAGTCAAGTCTATATTATTCTTATAACTTGTAGTCACTCCAAAGATCTTTGAGAATTCCTCTTTTCTCAATGGACACTCCAGCTTCCCATACATAATCCTGTGCTCTGGTGGCCTTCTACTAGAGCAAATATTATGCATCAGTAAAGACCCAACCATCGTAAGGAGCTGGCCTATGATTCAACCTTTGCATATTTCAACAACCATCACATTTACCAAGTCTAAATTTGAGGGGAAAGGTACTTCTGGGAGTAGGTTAAACATAAATGAGCCCTGCAACAGCCTCCTACTCCTACATTTACGCATTCTGGCCTACTGCCTGGAAAATAATAGCGAACAAGGGGATAACGTGTTCATTTCATAAACCTTCCTTGGAACATCACAGAGGACTAATTAACCCAGACCAGGTCCTACAGAACAGCTTTCCTCCACTCCTTACCTATGTGAGCATCAATCTCTACAATTTTCTCAATGCTGCTGGGCTCCATCAGTGGGGAAGTAATTCTCTTCTCCACAGCTAGGCACACACCCTCTGATGTCTGGATCCCAATGGCTGTAGAACCAAGCTAAAGAGAAACATCTTATGATTACCATATACAGGTCAAATAACTGTCTCACATACTCACCAGATAGCTCTCTGTAAATCTTCACATGATAGAAACTTCAATTGGCCACATCTTATAGGCAGAGAGAAGGAGCACCCTAATATACTCTAAGTAATTAATATACTATTCCTGTCAATAGCAAGAATATTGATTTACAGAAAAAAGTTCTTTTTTTCTCCCTTAAATTTTTTTTAAGTTTTTAATGTTTTCTTTATAATTTACCCAGGTAATTTCTAGAACCCCAAAAGAGTAAGTTCAACAAAGTCTTTCAAACATTGGAAAAATCCATTCTCTAATGCCAATATTTGGAGGAGGGAGGATTCAAAAGTTCTAAACATAGTGGGCAAGAAAGTAATAAAACTCTTAATGTCTTTTCTGGACCCGGTCTCTTTTCACCTCTTACATCTGTCTTGGTCTGTCCCAAGAGGTGATATTCCCCAACCTACCTGACCTCCAAAAAAGTAATAAAGGAAGGTAGGGAGGGACAAAAAGAACCACCACCATCATCACCACCAACAGTGTAAAACTATTAATTATTTAAGGTCGCTAGAAGTCCACAATATACCTGGAATTCATCTCATTATCTCTATGTAACACCCAGCCATCTACTACTCCTCTATGCCCATTTCGTGCAAAATGAGGATGACAATAATAACAAGAAGGGTAAACATATTATGTATTACAAAATGCTTAAAATGGTGCCTGCCAAAGATGAACAAATGTTATTCATATTCCATGCTTAGATTACTTCACTAACCTCTCTCATCTTTAATCTCTCTCTCAATGTATCTCTCATGTTATAGCCTGACTGATCTAATAAAATGCTATTATCATTATATTTCTTCTCTCAAGAATTAACATCACCCTATACTGCCTATAATATAATATCCAAATAAACTTCCAGAGCCTTCATATCCTGATGCCACTTTTCCCTTCCAACTTCATTACTCGTTATTCTCCAACAAAATCCCTCAGGTATAGCCCAACCCACTTGCTCAAGCCACATTATCTCCTACCCTTGCACCCCTCTGCTCATGCTGTCTCCCCTGGAATACATTCTTCCTTTCCTCTATCCAAATTTCACTCACAAAGTCTTCCATGACTATGTTTTGTGCTTTGAATTCCCATTATATTCAGTTATTTCTACAAAGTAATCACTGCCAAGTGTGAGCATTGCAAAGGGTTCCAAAGAATCCCATGAATCTTTATGTATAACTTGCTTAACATGTCTGCAGACTGAATGATCGTTTCACACACATATATATTATTTTTCAAATGTGTTAAGTTGTGACTTTATTTAGAAGTGTTATTAAATGTACACCAGCTTTTTGGCATGTATTTTCTTAATCAGTGGATACCTGCATAACTACAGGAGATGAACTGTCAAAAAATTTTATGTAAAAAAATGAGTACTCAGGTTGGGCACAGTGGCTCATGCCTGTAATCCCAGTACTTTGGGAGGCTGAAGTGGGCAGATTGCATGAGTCCAGGAGTTCGAGACCAGTCTGGGCAACATGGTGAAACTCTGTTTCTATAAAAAATACAGTAATTAGCCAGGCTTGGTGGCATATGCCTATACTCCCAGCTACGCGGGAGGCTGAAATGGTAGGACTGCTTGAGCCCAGGAGGCAGAGGTTGTAGTGAGCCAAGATCATGCCACTGTACTCCAGCCCGGGCAACAGAGTGAGACCCCATCTCAAAAAATAAATAAATAAAAATGAAGGCTCACATTTCTAGTTAAAGGTGTAGACTAATGACATACATTTGTTCCATGCCTTCCTTAGGTCTGTTAATGTAAGATTAAAGGACTTTTAAAAAGGCATAAATCCACTATAACAGAGAGTGGGACAAGACACAGCAACAAAACTTTGAAGCTGAAAAGAAGATAGGTTAGTGATACCCGAGTAATCCAAATCCTAAACCAGCAGTAAAGAAAGTAAAGAAACAACTTGATTTTTATCAGAGGACCTCACAAAAGGAAATGGTGGCAACAAGGACTTCTGGAAATGGAAATGAACAAGGAGCTAAAAACTGCAAGATGGTTCAGTGTTCAAGAAACAGATTCCCAGATGCCCTCCCCTATGCTGTAAAGCTAGATGACTGCACCTCCCCCACTCCTGCAGAAGACTCCAGGCTTATTCTCTGGAGACCGTAAAACGGAGGGTCTTTGGATTGGGGACACCAAGCACAGTCTAAGGCAGGAATCATGTACTGAAAACAGGGTAAATATGTAAAAATTTACAAACTGAGTGTTAAGAACCTCAGCCTTCTTTCCCTACTCAGCTCTCAGAAGCCAGCAGCCAGAAATACCCTCCCGGAATGAAATGAGAAGAGGCAGTTTTCTTCTCAGCAATGTTTTTCAAACTTTTTGACCAAAAGCCACAGTATGGAATACATTTGCTTTCATAACTAAAACCCACAAATAAATACAAATACATAACAGAAACAAAATTTCATGAAAAAAAACCACTCACCACTACTATGGGCAAGGCATTTTGATATCTATTGCTCTGTTTCACTTAAAAAAGAAATCTGGGCCAGGAGTGGTGGCTCATGCCTATAATCCTAACACTTTGGGAGGCTGAGGCAGGAAGATCACTTGAGCCCAGGAGTTTGAGACCAGCCTGGGCAACATGGCAAAACTTTACCTCCATGAAAAATTTAAAAAAATTACCTGGGTGTAGTGGCATGTACCTGTAGCTGGGGGCTGAGGTGGCATGGTCACTTGAGCCTGGGAGGTTGAGGCTGCAGTGAGCTGTGATCATACCACTGCACTCCAGTCTAGGTGACAGAGTGACACTCTGTCTCAAAAGAAATGCTCCTCATGACCACTAAATTTATTTTAGTATCTCCTAATGAGCCTAGACCTACAGTTTGAAAAACATAGCTCTAAAGAATCTGACCAGTTCAAAATGAAAAAAAATATTTTAGACAGGGTCTCACTCTGTTGCCCAGGATGGAGTGCAGTGGCACAATCACGTCTCATGGAGTACCAACCTCCCAGGCTTACGAGATACTCCCACCTAAGCCTCCAAAATAGCTAAGACTACAGATGTACACTACCACACTCAGCTAATTTTTAAAATTTTTTGTGAAGACAAGGTCTCACTATGTTGCTCATGCTGGTCTTGAACTCCTAGACTCAAGCAATCCTCCTGCCTCAGCCTCCCAAAGTGCTAGGATTACAGGTGTGAGCCTTGCCCAGCCTAATTTTTAAAATTTTTTCTAGACACGGGCTATGTTGCCCAGGCTAGTCTTGAACTCCTAGGCTCAAGTGGTCCTCCTGCCTCAGTCTCCCAAAGTGCTGGGATTATAGGGATGAGCAACAATGTCCCACACGGAAAAAAATTTTCAAGAAAAATTAGAAAATGGTTGAAGAAAAATAAGACATTTCATCCATAAAACAAGAACAGGATGCTAAGAAGACGAAAAGAAACAAAAGAAGTTGGAAATTTAAAATTATTTCTGGCCAGGCGCGGTGGCTCATGCCTATAATCCCAGCACTTTGGGAGGCTGAGGCGGGCGGATCACCTGAGGTCGGGAGCTTGAGACCAGCCTGACCAACATGGAGAAACCTCAACTCTACTAAAAATGCAAAATTAGCTGAGCGTGGTGGCGCATGCCTGTAATCCCAGCTACTCAGGAGGCTAAGGCAGGAGAATCTCTTGAACAGGGCAGGCGGAGGTTGCAGTGAGCCAAGATCGCGCCATTGCACTCCAGCCTGGGCAACAAGAGCGAAATTCCAACTCTAAATAAATAAATAAATAAATAGTTTCTACAATACTATTGGAAAATGGGTTCTACCAAATTCAGCAAATAAATAAAAAAAGATGACATGGGGCCTAACACAAGAGGGAGTTAAAGGGAACGCCTAGAATGATCTCACAGAAAATGAAGTCCACAGCTATGCAGGAGGCCCAGAGAATGACCAGTCCAGATTGGAGCAGGTTAGAAGGCTCCAAGATTTCATTAAGAATCCTTAATAGGGCACTGTGGCTCATATCCATAATCCCAGCGCTTTGGGAGGCTAAGGTGGGCGGATCACTTGAGCTCAGGAGCTCAAGACCAGCCTGTGCAACACAGCGAAACACCGTCTCTACAAAAAATACAAAAATTTAGGCCGGGCGCGGTGGCCCACATCTGCAATCTCGGCACTCTGGGAGGCCAAGGCAGGTGGATCACAAGGTCAGGAGTTCGAGACCAGCCTGACTAATATGGTGAAACACCATCTCTACTAAAAATACAAAAATTAGCCAGGTATTGTGGCACATGCCTGTAATCCTAGCTACTCAGGAGACTGAGGCAGGAGAATTGCTTGAACCTGGGAGGCAGAGGTTGCAGTGGGCTGAGATAGCACCACTGCACTCCAGCCTGGGTGACAGAGTGAGACTCTGTCTCAAAAAAATAAAAAAATAAGCCGGGCATGGTTGTGCATACCTGTAGTCCCAGCTACTTTGGGGGCTGAGGCGGGAGGATCACTTGAGCCTGGGAGATTGAGGCTGCAGTGACCTGAGATGCACCACTGCATTCTAGCCTGGCTGACAGAGCAAGACCCTGTCTCAAAAAAAAAAAAAAAAGGGAATCCTTAATAGGACACTTAATTTGCCTGAATGTTTTGAGAGGATACATGTAACCTAGAGAGACTTTGGGATGCATTATTGATCATCCTAAATTAAGCAAATATTTTTAAAAAGAGAATTATTAACTCCAAGAAAAACAATGTTGTGCAGAAACAGAAAAACAATTATAAAACACAAAATGGCTCAGCTGTGAAAAGCATTTACAGTCATACTAATGTAACTATTGACTAATGATCTAACAAAATCATGATATTCATGATATATATGGAGAGGGTCACCCTATCCCCACCTCAGAAGACAATTGTGTGTGGTGGGGACTAGGGGTGTGGGGTTGGGGCAGAAATCTTCATCCTTCATAATGAAAAGTCCATGGATAATGCCTAACAAAAAAACCATAAACCTGTGTTGTAGAGATACGGAGGTACATGCCTAGAACATTACCAGCTGAAACAATTTGAAGTGTTGCCTCTGAAAAGCTGAACATAGATGATGCAGGCCTCAAGAATTGCTATTTTTGTTACAAGGTTCATAGAACTACTTTGCCTTTTGACTCTGAAACTACATGCATGTATACCTTAAAAATCAAACAAATATATAATCAGCAACCATTGCCAGAAAACTTAATTTAGCACTTAATTGTTCTCTAATTGTTTCATTTATAGTATACTGATCTTGAATTCCCAACTGAACAGAGTAGGATAGAATTCATATATACTTTTAATCTAGAAGAGTGATTCTCAATTGGGGGCCCTTTTGTCCCCACCAGACATTTGGCAAAGTCTGGAGACATTTTTGGTTGTCACAACTGAAAGAGTGCTACCGGCATCTAATGGGTAGTATCCAGGAATTGATAAACATCCTAAAATGCACAAGATGGCCCTCCACAACAAAGAATTATCCAGTTCAGGCCAGGTGTGGTGGCTCACACCTGTAAATCCCAACACTTTGAGAGGCTGAGGCAGGAGGATTGCTTGGGCCCAGGAGTTTGAGACCAACTTGGGCAACATAGCAAGACCACATCTCCACACACACACACACAAAAAAAAGCCAGGCATGGTGCATACGTCTGTATCCTAGCTGCTAGGGAGGTTAAGGTGGGAGGAAAACTTGAGCCCAGGAGTTAGAAGCTGCAGTGAGCTAAGACGGTGTCACTGTACTCCAGCATGGGTGACAGAGTAAGACCCTGTTTCTAAAAAAAACTAAAACAAATCTCTTTAGTCCCTAAGGTGTCTTTACCAACAAGAATGCAAAGGTGGGCCGGACGTGGTGGCTCACGCCTGTAATCCCAACACTTTGGGAGGCTGAGACGGGCGAATCATTTGAGGTCAAGGGTTCGAGACCAGCCTGGTAGTAAAACCCCATCTCTACTAAAAATTTAAAAAAGTTAGCCGGGAGCAGTGGCACATGCCTGTAATCCCAGCTACTGGGAGGCTGAGGCAGGAGAATCACTTGAACCTAAGAGGCGGAGGTTGCAGTCAGCTGAGATCACGCCACTGAACTCCAGCCTGGGCGACTGAGAGAGACTCCATCTCAAAAAAGAAAAGAAAAGAAAAGAAAAGAATACAAAGGTAGTCAGATACATGATTTGCTAAAGAAAACAAAACAGAAAAAGTAATACAAGTGCTAATTCTGGACTTCTGTATCCCTCTTTATAGCTAAGAGGATCAAAAGCACAAATATGTCCCTCCACCCCCACTGAGAAAAAGCTATTAAGATAATTATGAAGCAGTTAACTGCTCAAAAAGTTTTAAAATACATATTAGGAATAGGATTGAAACTGTTATAAAAATGGTTAACAGTGGTTGCCTAAAGGGATGTAAGAACATTTTCTAAAGGAATGGTTAGACCACATTTACTCCAAGTGTTCTGCCAGCAAAATGTTAGGTAGCCATGAAATTTCAGGAACTATGCTACTTGCTACTATACCTTGATAGCCTCAATGGCATACTCCACTTGAAATAATCTTCCTTCGGGAGAAAAAGTATTCACGCCCCTATAATTTAAAAAAAGTCATTAATTATACTCATAAAAACTAGTCATGTAGACACTGAATTCAAGTTCCTTGACAACTAGCTCAGATAGCTACAGAATATGCATGCTGTCATTATTCTCTACTTCGCCCACAACAATCTGTAGCATTTTTTGTACATTAACAGTTTCTCAAGGGAATGGAAACTATATATAGAATGCTTCTGCCCCACTCCCAGAAAGTCTTCCCAAACTGGTGAAATGAGAGCAAGTGACTTTTCTGCCTCAATCCTGAATCAACCTGGGTCCTTTCTGAATAGACTTGCCAGTTCCTTTGGTAAGTTCATGCCCCAAAACTATCAGCCAATTTCCAAGAAAATGTGCATTTTTCCTTATCCTCTTCCCATAACATGCATATGATGTTAATATCTGGGGTTAACACTCTTCTTTCCATTCTCAATGCCCTCATTACTGTTCACCTAACTTTTGTAATAGTCTCCTAACAGGTATTGACTCGTGGAGCAAGTCCAAAGTGTTTTTCCCAATTCAGACAATCTCTATAAAACACAGTTATTACTTTTTTGTTTTTTTATTTGAGACAGAGTCTCGCTCTGTTGCCCAGGCTGGAGTGCAATGGCACGATCTCGGCTCACTGTAACCTCTGCCTCCCGGGTTCAAACAATTCTGCCTCAGCCTTCCCAGCAGCTAGGACTACAGGTGCATGCCACCACGCCCAGCTAATTTTTGTATTTTTAGTAGAGATGAGGTTTCACCATATTGGCCAGGCTGGTCTCGAACTCCTGACCTCATGATCCACCCACCTCAGCCTCCCAAAGTGCTGGGATTACAGGTGTGAGCCACCGTGCGTGTCCCAATTTCTTTCTTTTTTTTTAGACTGAGTGTGCTCTGTCACCCAAGCTGGAGTGCGGTGGTGCGATTCCGGTTCCCTGCAACCTCCATCTCCTGGGTTCAAGCGATTCTCCTGCCTCAGCCTCCCAAATAGCTGGGATTACAGATGCCCGCCACCATGCCCAGCTGATTTTTGTATTTTTAGTAGAGATGGGGTTTCACCACGTTGGCCAGGCTGGTCTCAAACTCCTGACCTCAAGTGATCCGCCCACCTCAGCCTCCCAAAGCGCTGGGATTACAGGCGTGAGCCACTGCGCCCAGCCCTAATTATTACTTTTTAGTAAAAGTTAGTCACAGGTACATTTCTCTACTTACTTGTATGAATTACTATTGTTATCTTAACAGACTGAGATCCATGTAGTTCCTAATTCTAACCTAGTGAATTCACTCAACATTTATATAAGTTACATGTCAGACTGCTTTTCTCTCTAAAACACTTCCCCTTAACACTTAACACTTTCCACCTTTCCTTGCTCAAGTGTGCTGGAAATCCCTACGGAGAAGAGGCACCAAACATGGTCTCAGCTATAAAAGCTTTGAGCACACAATGGACACAAAAAATATGTGAACAAATGAATGAGATGGTTGCAATCCGTGGTTTATGGAGTCTGGACTTCACAACAGGTAACACGTCATATAGCAGTGCTTTTGGCCTGGCGTGGTGGCTCATGCCTGTAATCCCAGCATGTTGGGAAGTCGAGGCGGGCGGATCAGCTGAGGTCAGGAGTTCGAGACCAGGCTGGCCAACATGGTGAAACCCCGCCTCCACTAAAAAAACAAAAATTAGCTGGGCGTGGTGGCAGGCGCCTGTAATCCCAGCTACTTGGAAGACTGAGGCACGGGAATCACTTGAACCCAGGAGGCAGACATTGCAGTGAGCCAAGATGGCACCACTGCACTCCAGCCTGGGTGACAGAGTGCTAAGCACCAGTTACTTCCAAATCTCTATTACCAGTTTTACCTCTTTCCTAACTAATTTAAATGTTTGCCGAACATTTCCACTTGCATATCCCATTAGCACTTAACACTTAACACTTTGCAGTTTGAAATATTATCTCTTTAAATCCAGTCACCTTGCAAAATTGACTTCATCTCCTGCCATTCCTATTTCAGTTTTATTTTAAAACACCTCCAATCTTCCAGTGTTCCCAAGATAGGAAGTTCTGAATGATCTGACTCATTCCTCCCCATCTTTTCCCATATCCAACTATGTGGTAAGTCATACCAATTCATATCAATTCCTCCTCCACAGTAACTCATCACTCTTCCTTCTCAATGCCCTCATTACCTTTCACCTAACTATTGTAATAGCCTAACAGGTATTGACTCACTTTTCCCTAATTCACACAATTAATCTCTGTAAAACACAATTATTATTTAACAGCACACAGTTGCCTACAGAACTAGGACCCAAACTCCTTAGCCTCGTATTAAAAACCATTCAATATCTAGCAGCATCCTGTTTTTCCCATTATCTCCTGCTGTTCCCATACATGTATCATATGTGCCAGTCAGACTGGACTTTTCCCAAAATGCTTTGTGCTTTTCCATTGCCCCTCCTTCATTTATCCCATATTCTCCAACTCAAAACTAGTGATCTCACTGTCTTTATTAAATTCCTACTCTTTCAAGAGACCTAGTTTAAATGTCAGCTCCTTTGTGAAGTTTTCCAAGATCCTCTCATATTGCATGCAATCCCTCATCAAAAACTCAATGGTATTGATTTGAGTTTCTTTAATGGCATTAATATATTTCTGACTCACACTATAGTTACTTCTATAAACAGTTTTTTTTTTTTTTTTTGGAGACAAGATCAGCACCACCACACCTGGCTGATTTGTTTTTAATGTTTAGTAGAAACGAGGTCTCACTATGTTGCCCAGGCTGGTCTCCAGCTCCTGAGCTCAGGCAATCCTGCCTCGGCCTTCCAAAGTGCTGGAATTACAGGCATGAGACACTGTGCCTGTAAACAATTCTTTAAGAGTCTCAGGCTGGGCGAGGTGGCTCTCACCTGTAATCCTAGCACTTTGGGAGGCCAAGACAGGTGGATCACGAGGTCAGGAGTTCAAGACTACCCTGGCCAAGATGAGGAAACCCAGTCTCAACTAAAAATACAAAAATTAGCCGGGCATGGCGGCACCGACTGTACTCCCAGCTACTCAGGACGCTGAAGCAGAGAATTGCTTAAACCTAGGAGGCTGGCCAGGCGCGGTGGCTCATGCCTGTAATCCCAGCACTTTGGGAGGCCAAGGCGGGTGGATCACGAGGTCAAGAGATCGAGACCATCCTGGCCAACATGGTGAAACCCCGTCTCTACTAAAAATACAAAAATTAGCTGGACGTGGTGGCGCGTGTCTGTAGTCCCAGCTACTCGGGAGACTGAGGCAGGAGAATCACTTGAACCCGGGAGGCGGAGGTTGCAGTGAGCCAAGATCATGCCACTGCACTGCAGCCTGGCGCCAGAGCAAGACTCCCTCTCGTCTCAAGAACAAACAAACAAACAAAACCCGGGAGGCGGAGGTTGCAGTGAGCCAAGATCACATCACTGCACTCCAGCCTGGGCGACAGAGCGAGACTCTGTCTCAAAAGAGTCTCCTATATGAGAGCAAGGAGCTTGATTTTGTCCATTGCTGTAGCACCAGCACCTAGAACAGTGCCTTGTTCACAGCAAGCACTCAAGCACATTAACTAAGAGAATAAAAAGGGATGTATTTTAGGCCGTCTTGGGAAGACAGAAAAATAAGTAACAAAGCAGTCAATACATATGTTAAGTAAATTGCCACAAAATTTAATAAATGATTTCTGATAAGGATAACAATTTCTATCATACACACCCTAACTCAAAATTATATGTCACCCGAGGATGATTCTCTTCAATGTTCTGGAAGTTAAATATCGACCAACAAAGTCACTTTGTAAGACAGTGGGGAAATATGTCAAAACTTCACACACATCTTCTATGAGTCAGTAAAAAAAGATGAAAAAGTGGTAACTGCAAGTGGTCAGCACATACTTGACAGGATCAGCATATACTTGACAGGAAATGCAGCTTCTGACACCACTCAGTACAAAGAAAATGTCTGCCTTCCCTGACTTTAAAAAAAAAACTTAGTAGCTATGTAAAAACTTAACTCACGAAAATAGAAACTGAAAGTAAAAATGTCTACAGCATAAATATGTACAACTTAATATTGTGCACATTTTCACACCACAAGTTTTTTAAAATTTGCTTTAAACTTTTAAAAAGTCAGAAAAATTTTGGTCAGTTGGAACCAGCATGATGAGAAATCTCTTGAAAACCACTCTAAATTCCACTTCCTATAAAATCAGACTCCAGACAATATATCCAGCCAAAGCTACGACTGCGTTCGCGCTTCTGCAGAAACTATACACCGCAGCATGCCCTACTACAAACCAGTTGCTTTTTCTGCCAGGAGGCACGTTTAACTTTTTGTTTGTTTGTTTAAGGCAGTCATACTAGGCACGAAAAGATGAACGGAGCAAGGGGTGACCCTTGACCCTCTCCGGGTTCAAGTTAGGAGTACCGGCTCCTCACGCCTTCTTTACCAAGCACAAGTCGGAGCTTCTCGCTTCCGCACTGAGTTAGGACCCAGGGGGTGACTCAGCGGTAGGACAAGTGCCGCCGATGTGGTCTAGCTTGGGGAACCACGGCGGGCGTCTAAGGAGGGCAAGAGATCCCCAGGTCCGGCCAATCTCGGGTTCCTGGGGAGCCCCATGACACGGCAGAACGCAGGCCGCGCGGCCAGGTCCCGGGCCTGCCCACCCGTAATTCCCACCCGACGTCCCCCAGCCGCACGGACCTGTCGTACTCAGACCGGGTGAGAAACATGGCGAGGGCAGCAGGAGGCAGCGGCTACGCGGGGATTCTGAGGACCAACAGCACTCCACCGGCACCCAACTCACCCACACCGCCACAGTACCAAAGACCAACTGCGCGTGCGACCGCGACCTCTTTAGCCCGCCCTCCTGTGCCTGCTTCCTATTGGCTAATAGTAGTTCCCGCTGAGGTGATTGGGCCAACGCGCTTCCTCGCCAGGGCATGGTTGGTCCGGAGGAGGAGGACCAGTGAGGTACTTCCGCCTTAAATCTCGGGTGGTTGCTAGGGACGATTGGAACCCAAGGCGTGTAGTGAGTTCGCCTTTTAGAGAAGGTGTGAGCCCGCCCCAAGACTGGCAATTGAAAGGGCTTGCACGCAGAGCTGGGCTGTCTGAACCCTGACTTAATAGGTCCCTCGCCGGCTCCCGTAATCCCAGCTAGAGTACTTTGGCCTGGTTTCTTGCACGGCCCCCACCTTCTTTCTCTTCGCAAGGTTCCCTCTTTTAGGGTTCCCTCTCTTAGGGTTCCTCCGCGGTGTTCTCCTTGCCTGGTCGAAGGCTCCAGGACTTTGGGCGGCAACGGGTCCGCTACAGTGGGTCTGAGCCGGCGCCGCGGACTAGTCCCTTAGCTTCAGCCAGTTTGGCTCGTTTATTGAGAAAAGCAGGGGGCGAGGGGTTAGTATGTAAGAAAGTCTTCGAGTTTCCATATGGTTAAGGTAATTTTATCAACTCTTTCTTGCACCCCTCCACCTAGTACAGGTTTCAGACCTAAATAACCTAGAGTTCAGGATCCGACTTCAAAATATTCACTGCTTTTTCTGTTATTTGTTAAAAAAATAAGTGTTTTCTGTGAGCCCACATCGTGCCATTGCACTGCAACCTGGGCAACAGCCAAACCCTATCCGAAAAAAAAAAAAAGCGCTTTCTTTATCGACGCTTCTTGCTTCCCTTCAATAAGTTGCTTAAGGAGCAACTTTACAGCTTCGAAATAACACTGTAATTGAAGTATTTGTTCAAGAAAGGCAAGTACGAACTCTTGGCACGGGGGTGGGGAATAGAGGGAAATATTGGTCAAATGATACAAAGTTTCAGTCAGACAAGGTGGATGAGTTCTATAGTTAATAATCATGTATTGTGTACTTGAAATTGTGAAGAGGGTACACCTTAAATGTTCTCACCACAGGAAAGTATGTGAGGTGATGGATTATGTTGATTAGCTTCATTATTCGCAGTGTGTGTGTGTGTATGTATATGTATATCAAAACGTCACGTTGTATACCATAAACATGAACCATTTCTATTTGTCTCTTACACCTTAATAAAGCTGGAGTCGGGGGAAAGAAGTCATTTATGCTAGAAAGGGAAATGGCAGCATCTCATTTCCAGTTATTAATGTGATACCACTAGTCGAGTCCTTAACCTCTGAAGGCCTGTATCTCTCCAGTAAAGTTCATTCTTGGTCCTAGATTAGGTTTGTAAGTCACCAAGGCGTTTCAAAGGTCTAGGAAATGTAAAAATATGCCTTTTGAGTATTAGCCAACATCTGTTTTCCCCACCCGTTATTTTCTGACTTCCTTCATGGATTCAGTAGGAATTTAGTTTGGTCATCCCTGGCCAATCAGATGTTTAGCACTAATAAAACTGAGGAAAAACTCCAAGTAGCAATCCTCAGGGATCTGTTAGATTTCTGAGAAAAGAATGGTAATTTTTAGCTTTCTTGTCAGTTTTCTGACAAGCTTTTTTTTGTTTTGTTTTCGCCTTATCAGTTGTGTTCTATGGAAAAGGCTTGGTTGTAAATTGACTACAGCTGCTCTTTAGAAGTTCTTTTATGGCCAGGCGCGGGGTCTCACGCCCGTAATCCCAGCACTTTGGGAGGCCGAGGCGGGTGGATCATGAGGTCAGGAGTTCAAGACCAGCCTGGCCAAGATGGTGAAACCCTGTCTCTACTAAAAATACAAAAATTAGCTGGGCATGGTGGTGGGTGCCTGTGATCCCAGCTACTCGGGAGGCTGAGGCAGAAAGTTGCTTGAACCTGGGAGGCAGAGGTTGCAGTGAGCCAAGATCTCACCACTGCATTCCAGCCTGAGCGACAGACGGAGTGAGACTCCATCTCAAAAAAAAAAAAAAAAAGGAGTTCTTTCACTACATAGGTACTTAAGTGTAATATTTCCTGAGCACCCAGGGTTGCATGGTGCTCTGCAGCCCCTACCAATGTCAGAGACAGTAGTGAATGACTTACGAAATGTTCTGAATGTAGAATCTCCTCTGGGTAAATGTGTTTGTGCTGTATATAACGTAAATGAATGGGAGCCGCAGGTAATTGTGGATAGGAAGGAAAATCTTTTCTCCCAAGAGAGTGCATTGTAAAAATCTAACAGCTAACATAATGTCTCTTTGAAAGAAAGAAAATGAGAAATTAGCTGTTTAAAAGTAATTGAAGTTAAAATGTGTATATGCACATTTTTTTTGTGAGACGGAGTCTCGCTCTCTCGCCCAGGCTGGAGTGCAGTGGCCAGATCTCAGCTCACTGCAAGCTCCGCCTCCCAGGTTCACGCCATTCTCCTGCCTCAGCCTCCCAAGTAGCTGGGGCTACAGGCGCCCGCCACCTCGCCCGGCTAGTTTTTTGTACTTTTTAGTAGAGACGGGGTTTCACCGTATTAACCAGGATGGTCTCGATCTCCTGACCTCGTGATCCGCCCGTCTCGGCCTCCCAAAGTGCTGGGATTACAGGCTTGAGCCACCGCGCCCGACCTGTTTACTCTTTAAAAAGGAATGAAATTCTGATACATGCTCTAACTTGGATTAGACTTGAAGACCTTATGCTAAGTGAAATCGCAGACACAAAAAGACAAATATTATATGATTCTACTTACGTTAGGTACCTATAATTGTCAAATTCATACAGACAGAAAGTAGAATAGTGGTTATCTAGGGCTGGAGGAAGAGGGGAATGAGGAGTTAATGGGTTTAATGGATACAGCATTTCAGTTTGGGATGATGATGAAGTTCTGGAGATGGATTGTGGTGATGGTTACACTACAATGTGAATGTACTTAATGTCACTGAATTGTATACTTAAAAGTGGTTAAAATGGTAAGTTTTATGTTATGATATTTTACCACAACAGAAATAATTTTTTAAGTTAAAGGGAGGAAGAAGGAAGATAATGAAAATGTGATTCATTTGAGGGTCAGTATTCTGTCTTGTTCAGCCTAGCACCTGGCATATGCTCTAGATACATTTGTTTGGTAAATAAGTATTTATTTTTTTAACTTTTATTTTGAGTCCAGGGTGTATGTGCAGGATGTGCAGGTTTGTTACATAGGTAGACGTGTGCCACGGGGATCTGCTGTACACACCATTTCGTCACCCAGGTATCAAGCCGAGTATCCGCCAGTCATTTCTCCTGATCCCCTCCCTCCTGCCACCTTCTGCCCTCCAGTAGGCCCAAGTATGCGTTGTTTCCCTCCGTGTGTCCATGTGTTCTCATCATTCAGCTCCCACTTGTAAGTGAGAACATGTGGTATTTGGTTTCTGTTCCTACATTAGTTTGCTGAGGATAATGACCTCCAGATAAGGATGGGTTGATTGATTGATTGCTATAAGCATACTAGTTCCATAGACATTAATATATGTGTGACTTGGAGAAGTAGAGTAAGTAGAAAATTCAGAATTTCAAATAGCCACTTTAAAATGTTTTTAAGTACTGTAGTTTTTTATTTCTTAAATAAAATAGACAAAAGTGTGTTGGCTACACCTTTTTAGGTGAAATATTAATACTGAGAGATGAGAAGGACTGTTCCTCATTGGAGAAATGTAAGTTATTTAGACATTAATAAAAGTTCTGCGTTCACCCATAGAGTGAGAGTTCTCAGATATTTTGGTACTATTTTGCACATTTTTGCAAAGAAAGAAAAATCATCCCTAATTGAAAGCTGTCATAATTATTTTACAGATGAAATAAACTGTATTGCAGTAAAGATACTTTTCAATTGTAGATTAGAAGCTTTGTCATTCCACTGGAAGTAAGTGTAGTAGTTTGGTAAAGTTAATAGCCTGATAAATGTTGAAAATACTCACATTTGTTCGCAAACATCATATATGTAGCAAACATCATATTGTGTCAGACATTCCTGGGTGAGGCAGAAAATATGTGGAGAATTTAAAAAGTAATTCCAAATAAATTTAGGTCCCTTTTCTCTTTCTAAATATTACATTCCCCAAATCCATTTATCCACATTTATCTCTAGTAACTACAATTTGTTTACATAAAAAGACATTTTAGATTTGGCTGCTTCCCTGTGTATCATTTTTTACTTCAATCATTTTGTAGAGTATTTTTAAATAACAAAGGTTTTTAACTCAAGGATATAGAGAGCTTTAGCTAGCTTTGATTCTTGCAAACCCCTGAAGAAATAGAAATTGAACAGTTCAGGCCAATGACTTAGCATGGCAAGAATACTAATGCAGGCCCATTGCTGCATAATTTGGTACTCCTCTAATGGGAAACTTTGGCTTATAGACCCCCCATCAGCCTAGCTGAAACTTTCTTAGAACTGAGCTGCAGCTTGAGACCCTGCCTGTGCAATCCTTTTTATTCTGTCTCCTTCATAGGTGCCAGACTTATAGCACAGTCTGTAGCATCTCCCACCTTCTCCTGCTCTCATCCCTTTTCTCCTTATAGATGTTTCTGCCAATTAATCTCTTACATGTTTTTATGGGCTGAATTGTGTCTTCCCCCAAATTCAGATGTTAAAGCCTTAACCCCCAGTATCTCAGAATGTGACTGAGCTAGGACCTTTAAGGAAGTGCTCAAGTTCAGTGAGGCTGTTAGGGTGGGCCCTAATCCAGTCCTGACTGGTGGCTTTATAAGAAGAGGAAATTTGGATCCACAGACACCAGGGGCAGGTGCGCACAAGAGAAACGGCCACGTGAAGACACAACGAGAAGGTGGCCATCTGTAAACCAAGGAGAGAGGTTCAGAAGAAGCCAGACCTGCTGACACGTTGATCTTGGACTACTAGCCTCCAGAACTGTGAGGAAATACATTTCGGTTGTTTAAGTCACTCAGTCTGTGGTAGTTTGTTATGGCAACCCTCGGAAACTAATACACATGTCAAATCTCACTTTGGC